GTGTGTGTGTGTGTGTGTGTGTGTGTGTGTACACGTCCCTCCTCCGTTCGCCCTCCCCCAAAATTTGGCTCGTAGCCACGCCTCTCCTCTACGTCATCCCCTAGCCAGGTTTCCCATTGGCCCAGGAGGAAGGTCTACCCATTGGGACACTCCGGTCGTCTGTCTGGCGTTCGCGGGAGGCGGGAGGAGCAAGGAAAGCTTCCTTGTTTGGGGCGGCGTGGGGGGGGGAGGGCGACGCTCCCGGCCGGATCTCCCAGGCGGGGTGGGGGTGGGGGCTGCGGCGACTGGAGCCGGTGACCAGGTGCTTTCCTTCTTTCCACCTTGGCTGGGGCTTGGGGCGCCAACGGGGAGGGGGCTGGACTGGACTCCCTGACTGGTCCAGCTTTTGGGTGGTCGCGGGTCCGGCGGGCTTCCTTCAGGATCGATCCTAAAGGAGCGCTAGCTGGGATCGATTACCCCTCCCCTCCTCCCTCTTCATCCGGACTCCACCTGCATGCATGCAAGAATGCATGCGTGTGTCTCTTGATCCGGGCCTCGCTGGGTCGCCACCCCCAACTTTAGCATGGGGCGGATGGGAGGGAGTAAAAAGCAGATCCCGTTCATCTCAGAAGCAAAACCGTGGATTTACCCGGTTCTTTCCTTTCTAAGCCTGCCCGTCCCCCAGGTCCCACGGTTCCTGCTCATCCTAGGTGAGACCTGGCATGCGTCTTGGAGATCCAGTCCTGGGGTTCTGTAGTAGATCCAGCTCTCCGGAGCACAGCAAGGCAAGAAACTTTCTATGGAGATTCGCAGCCCTCCAGGTCACGGTTGTTCCCAGAGGTGCTTTGTCGAAAGGATCTTTGTTTTTTTTCCTAGAAGAAGGTTTGGCTTCTCATCCGGGAAGCTTCTTCAGCAATTGCTTTCCCAGAATATATTCTCCCTACAAGTTTCCAAGAAACTGAGAACTGAAACTGAAGAAGCTTCTTTGGGTGAAAAGCGAAAAGGTCTTCAAAGGTAAAACAAAGTCCTGTTCCCTTTTTGAAAAAAAAAAAAAAAAACCTTTGGGAGAGATAAGAAAGGCTGCTCTATTTTAAGTTTGAAGGTGGCTTTCATGGGGATTTGCCTCCAGAAATTGTGGGTGCTTCATCTCCGGAGGTTTTTAAAGTAGAGACTGGACAGCCATTTGTCTGAAATGACACACGGCCTGTTATTCTGTTAAAGTTATGTCTGTATGATCTCCATTTATACACGTATAAACATTGTGCTTATTATTGGGTTTGAATAGGGGTGTCCCCATTTTTATTCCTTGCTATAGGATGGGGAGAATGGAGCCCAACCAAGGTAGATTTTTTATAAAAAAAATATCTAACATTTCTGAGTGACTTGATGGCCAAATAGCTCCTCTCTGTTTTATAATTTGAAAATTTCTGCACACAATCCAGTGCAGGGCGTCCATTCCCTTCGGTGGTCCTTGTGCAGGAACATCTCAATTCTGAGGGATCCCCTACAGAGGAACTTGTAGAAGATATTTTGGAAAAAGCAATTGCTTTGTTTGGATGGTTTATTTACTTCTTAAATACATTGCAGTTATTAGCTGACTGTCTAAGAGCTGGGGTAATGGAGGAGCATTGAGTGAGAAGAGTGGGTGTTGTATTGATGTATGGAATTTTTCTATGGCTTCCAGACCTGCCAAATAGCTAGGCATGTGCCACATGGTCTAGGTAGGAAAGTAGAAACACACAAAGGGTTTCTAAAGAAATCCTAAAGAGCTGTGCAACAGAATTGGACTCTGCCCTGTTCCTGGGTTTCTTTTCTTGGGTTTGCACCTAGCAGAAATGGTAGTGTTGGAGAAGCTGTTGAAAGTTATTTCCCTGTTCACCTAGCCTCCCATCTTTTCTTTTTCCCAGTCATCCAGGCTGACTGGGAGAACCTGGGAAGGGTTTTCTTGTCTGCTTCTCAACAGCCAATTTCCAGGAGTTGGTAATGATGACCTCTGTGACGCATACTTTTCAGCGTGCAGATCATATCTCCGATGCAAAGCTAGGATGGGCAGGATGGTATTGTGTCCAGCTTCTTTCAGGAATGGACAACAGAAAGTTTAAATCCACCTTAGAGCTTTCTGTGAAAGCAAAAAAAGAGCAGAGAGGTGAACACACACACACGCACACGCACAAACAGAGGCATGCCTCTTTCATGCATGGGAGCTTGCTTTTGTGAGTTTGAGTATATAGTATATATTTTTACATATTGGTAATGGTGGCATATACAGACCTGGCCACTGATTTCTCTCTTGGTGAATGGGAGGCAGCCAAGGAGTTAGTAGCAGAATGCAGTACAATAAAGAACCCTTGGCTTTATGTTATGCAAACCTTATTGCTTTTAGTGCCCTGTTCTCCCACACTCTTTATTGCCATGACAGTAATGTTTGCCGTAATAATTATCCTTGGGGTGCTTCCTGGTGGAGAGCTGCTAATTTTATCAGTTGTGCAGCTGTTTCTTTTCCCTTTTGTAAGGGAATTTCTGGTGATAAGGGGGAAAAAATGTTGAAACAGTTGGCCGAAAAATATGTTCCACTGGAAGATAATATAATCTGGAGTTTTTGTAAAATTCCCCCAGGTGTGGCGATCGTAAATATAAAAAATTACCTGAAAAAAAATCACTTGGCTGGTAAATGTATATGCTCCATAAACGTACCTGATCTGTCCATGCTCCAAATGTATGGATTTTAATCCCCACAATTCACAATCCATGCTTTCAGGGGTTTACAACATGCATGTCTGGCTCAGGAAGGCTGCCATAAATCACAATGCTGAGTGAGGCTCATGCAATCACCAAACTTTGTCCAGTACAAATGAAAATAACAGATTCTAAGCCTTTCTCTGTCAGCCTGCCAATCGGTTGTTTTGCCTGAATCTGAGAAGGAAGTGTGCTAGAGATACATATCTTGCAATGGCCTGTGATGAAACCTCACTTGTTAATTGTAGACCTGTAATTGTATATGTCTGTGTGCAAATAGCCTTTTTCCCGGATGGCGTCAGCACAATAGGATCCGTGATAGGGTTAGGGATAGGCTGATGGAAGGACCTTCCTTTTCACATTATTTTCATTTATAGACAATGATGTGGATTTCCATTGTGGTCTGTTCAAACAATGTTGCAGGATCCAATCTGGGCTAGTCACCAAGACCAGATATTTAGTTCTTCCGAGCAGTGGCAGGATTCAATTTTTTTTACTACTGGTTCTCTGGGCGTGGCTTGGTGGGCATTGCAGGGGAAGGTTACTACAGAATCCCCATTCCCTCCCCCACCCCACTAACCTGCTTTCCAGCTCCGTTCTCCTGTACAGGGCAACAAAAGAAGACCCAGCCAATCAGCTGGGACTCAATGGGAGGCAGAGATGTGGGCGGGGCCAGTCAGAGGTGGGGTTTTCCAGTTCTCCGAACTATTCAAAATTTCTCCAGTTCTCCAGAACTGGTCAGAACCTGCTGAATACCACCTCTGTTCCGAGCTTTCAGACTTGTGGTGGAGTCCATACTCAGGGAAATTTTCACCGGCAGAGTGTTCGGGCCACCACAGGCACCCCTGACAGGAGTGAAGTTGAGCTGGCCATGCCCCCCCCGCCCCCCCGAGGTCAAACACAATTTTGCTGCGGCCCTCAATGAAACTGAGTTTGACACTCCTCCTATAAGAGTAATAGAAGCTTTTTTAGTCAACTGTTTAAGGCAAACTTTCCATGGGACAAAGGTTTTTCCTGCAGCCTGGAGGGGGCGTGGTTTCACATGCTGCTTGGATCCCAGAGATGGAGGTTTGCTTGTTTACGTGGCCCAGTTTCTGGCATGCTGCGACCCGGTGCCAGTCGATGGGCTAGGGGTTGGGAACCCCTACTTTAAGGTACATACTGCTCTGATTTTTTTCCTCCCTCATAAAGCAGAGCCTGGCGCAGACTGGTTATTTTATGCTGTCAGAAGACTGCCGGCACTGTTTTTCCCAGCCTCTGTTTGGGAGCATAAAATTCTCAGCCGGCTTCAGTTTGGAATAAACTGTACTCAAGAGATCTCAGAATGGATCTTTTAGCACTGAACACACAATCCCTACCTATACACAAGTGTCTTTTCTTCACTCCCTTACCATTTCATTTCCGCCCCCCTGTAGGAACGGTTTCATGTGAATTGAGCTATTAGTTAAGCTGCTGTTGATACCTAATTCTGTCTGATTCTAATATTACTGGATGCTTTCTATTGAAAGATTCCATTGTCCTAAAATACGAGGATGAGCTGTGCTTTTCCTTGCACAGTTTCTGGTGGCATGAGCAAGCAATAAATTACCAGCAATGTCTAGAGAAACACATTTGTTCTGGCATTAATGTCCAACCAACAACAATGCTGAGACTTAGTTGCTCTGATGGTTGCTTTGCCAGCTGGCAAGAACTGGGGTTAGCAATGTTTTCCCTTTACAACTTTGCAACGCTTCACATTTGGTTAGAAAGAAGTGTTTGGATTCAGTTGGGAAGAGACCAGGTGATAGCATATTTTCCACTAAAAAAAAAAAATGATTAAAAGGCATAAGCTTTCCTGAGCTGCAGCTCACATCCTCAGATGCACGGCTAGACTGGTATAGGATTTAATTTGGGATGAATCAGGAGGGAGGAAGGAGGGTTTTCAGAATGTGAGGGAGAATGAATGTAGCACTCATCTGAAACTCATGAAAACAGCTACATCTAGAAAATACCTACCGATACTTGTAAACAAATGTTTTATCTGCTATCCTGCTTTCCAAGACCTTCATTGAAACTCATGAACACAGCTACATCTTGAAGATGCCTGCTTGTAGTGAAGTGCTCTATTTGCTATTCTGTTTTCCAAAACCCTAATTGAAACTCACGAAAACAGCTACATCTTGAAAATGCCTATTTGTAGACAAGTTCTTGATTTGTTATCTTGCTTTCCAAAACCCTCATTGAAATTCATGAACACAGCTACTGGTATGCCTGGAAAATACATATTTGTAGATAAGTACTTTTTTTGTTACCTGCCTTCCAAAACCCTAATTGAAACTCATGAAAACAACTATATCTTGAAAATGCCTACTTGTAGACAAGTGCTCCATTTGCTCTCCTGTTTTCCAGAGCCCTCATTGAAATTCATGAACACAGCTATGTCTGGAAAATACATATTTATAAATAAGTACTTTATTTGCTACATGTTTTCCAAAATCCTAATTGAAACTGATGAAAACAGCTATATCTTGAAAGCGATACTTGTAAGACAAGTGTTCTATTTGCTCTCCTGTTTTCCAGAGCCTTCATTAAAACTCTGAAAACAGCTACACCTGGAAAATAATACTTGCTCTGTTTGCTACCCTGTGTTTTCCTGGTTGAATTTGATGCATTGTGCTTTGTTTTGACCTGTAGGTTTTAATTTTCTGAAGAGAGAAGGGGAGGAGTACTCTAGCAATATGATTGTACTGTGTGCTCTTGCATCATCTTACATGATTTATTCTTTCCTGCATGGGGTAATTAAGCATGGCTTGAGGATAAACAGCAGCAAATCTGTTTTCCTTGAGGGTAGGGATGAAGGAGCAGAAGAATTCCACTCTTCTTTGCTTTAGTTAATATAGTTTATAATTCAGCAGATTTGGCTGTTTCCACTGATAATGTGGGGAAGGGAATAAGAGAAAAATTGTAGTTAGGCAGTAATGACCAACAGAGTAGAAGCTGCCCTTTCAAAAGGGACGACCTGAGATTTCAACACAACTTTTGTTGCTGCTCTTTCTCAAGAATCGGAACAAGAAATAAAATCTCTACTTTTCATTTGTGTCCCACAATGGGCAAGTAATCTGCCAAAGAGACTTCTGGATAAAGAACTTAATAGGAGCCATGGTGGTGCAGAGGTTAGAATGCAGTATTGCAGGCTAATTCAGTCGACTGCCAGCAGTTTGATACTTACTGGCTCAAGGTTGACTTACTCAGCCTTCCGAGGTTGGTAAAATGAGGACCTAGATTGTTGGAGGCAATATCCTGATTCTGTAAACCGCCTAGAAAGGTCTATAAAGCACTGTGAAGTGGTATATAAGTCTAAGTGCTCTTGCTTGCTCTTGCTATTTGTGCCACTTTATTGAAGGAGATTGAACAGCAACTAGTAGTAGCATGAAAAATGTGATCTGGGAAATTCATTTTTATCTGCTACACATAATAAGACTATTGTATCTGGGTTGAAAAAATCAGGACAACCACTAGGTGACCGCAAACAGTTATTTATACAATTTTGTTACTGCCACCTAGTGGCTTCCTAAGATTTTCCAACTCATATTTTAACCATAAAATCAATGCCACTCCAGCTGGGAAGAAGAGTGGACAGAGAGAAGCAGTTTGAGCCATGGGAAGAGGTAGGCTATAACAGTAGGAGTGACAACTATAAGAAAAGGGGAGGAAGGTTCCAAAAGAGATGAGGGGTGGGGTGGTTTGAGTGGCACGTGGCAGCGGTGGACTTTGCTGAGCCAAATATATCTGCCACTGCAGAAAATGTTTGGCTGCATGGTTGAACATTGGTAGCAAATGGAGAAGTGCTGCAGAGGCTGCAAAGAATCTTTTTCTGGAGGCACATTGGTTTTGCAAGCTGTCCACTCATGTAAAAAGTTGAAAAAGTTACTCTTGGATTCTTGAAACCTGAATCAAAATCCCATGCTGGCAGGAAATTGGAAATTGAATCCTGGAGGTCACTGAGCTTGAGAAAACTGCCTACAAAGCATCACTCCCCATGTCAAAATGCTTATTTCGATCAATTAATAGGCCAGCTTATTTTGTGAGAAAAAGGCATGCAGTTTTAAGCTTTTGGATATCTGATTAATGAAACTGAGGCTACCAAACGGAACTGTGATTCCTGCCAGGTTGTCTGCGACTTATGACTGCAGTTGAGTTCACAATTTATGTTGCAGTTTTGCCCCATCCTATGACCTTCCTTGCCACAGTTCTTAGGTGAATCACTGTAGTTGTTAGTCACATGGTTGTTAAGTGAATCTGGCTTGCCTATTGTTGCAAGGTCACAAAAGGTGATCACTGGAACACTGCAATCTTCATAAATATAAATTTCGATCATAGTGATGCTGCAGTGGTAACAAGTGTAAAAAATGGTCAGTCGCTTTTTCAGTGCCGTTGTAAGTTTGAACGGTCACTAAATGAACTGTTGTTAAGTCAACAATTACCTGTAAAATAGTTTTTTTTTTAATGATACCTATTTCTGTTGCTCTTCGTTTGATCTTCAGATGACCCCTATTATTTCTGTTTTTGAGATAGATTTCTTCTTCTTTCACCTGCAGGAAAATTTCAAGATCCATGCCTTGCTAAAAGCAGAGAAGATGTTATGTTGGGGATATTGGTCATTTGGATTTCCTGGCTCAGATAGTACTCTACAGGCGGTCATCCCTGAACCTCAGACCACTGAATTTGTTCACAAAAGGAATGTCAAGGAAGTGGCTTGTGGGAAAAACCACTCTGTGTTCTTGCTGGAAGATGGGAAAGTATACACCTGTGGCTTGAACACTAAAGGACAACTCGGTCATGAGAGACAAGGAGGCAAGCCAGGTAGGTTGATTTTGAGGACTTGATCCCAAATCCTTTCATTTTCGCGATTTGTCTCTATTGGCATCTATTGTTTCTGACAGTTTTGAATTATCATTCTTATCGTTATGGTTTTTCTGTGACTGTATTGTTAATCAAGGGATCCAAATGGTTTTTTTTTTGCTGATGGACACATCTAAACTTTTGAAAGCAACTTTTACAACGGGTTGCTGTGATACGTGCTCCAAACGGTGGAAACGAAACATCAGGGAGTGATATTATCAATACTGTTTTTGATAGTAGATTATTTGAATTATTTGCAGGTGTGACTGATGTAAGAAAAGTAAAGGTGCTGGAGCTTTTTAATGGTGAACTAAGAGTCTCTATAATTCACACTGGCAATTTTCTTCTCATCTAGAAGATCTGGCTTAAGTTGCTTTTTCTGTCAGACCTCAAAATAACCTTTGTTATGAACCATGAATTGTAAAGCGCAGAGTGTGTCTTGTTCAAATTATATCCTTCTCCCCACACTTCCAGCAACAAGCGCAAACAAACAGAATTTTCAGTTTGTCCATGATAACAGAGAACTAAAAGAATGCTAGTCTCTTACTCTTTCAGATTTTGGCAGCTTTGCAAGCAGTTGCTTTTCCAAAATCACTAAAGCAGCTTTTGCCCTCCTGCGATCTGATGGGTAGAAAGTCTCAGATGATACAAATGTTATGGATTCTATTTCAAATTCTAAAAGGCAAGGATGGGAAAGTCTCCATATAGCCACAGATTGCTCTTTGCTGTTTAAAAATATTGTTAAGGTCTCAGGAATGTGAGTGGGGCATAGTGGTATCACATTCCCACCTTAGGCATGAAAGCTAGCTGGGTAACTTTGGGCTTACCTGTCTCTCTCAGCATCACTCGGCTCACAAGGTGGTGGTTGTTGTGGGGAAAAGAGGAGGAGGAGTAATGGAAGGCATCCTGGAGGTCTCCTAGTTTTAGGTAATTTCAGTAAGTTTCATTATTTTCATCTTAATTTTTTTTTACTGGGCTGATTTCAAATACTTTAAATATTTGTTTTATCAACGTAATTGGATATTTTCCCTGTTCATCCTAAATTACTTTAAGATACCCCCAAACCATGGAAATAAGGAAATTGCCAGCCAGCATTCGAAACACTGATGATTGAACAAATACAAAATAAAACCATTAAGTATTTCTATATGTTTTACTGAAGGTAGAGAAGTGAAAAAGTTTGTAGCTAGACATATTGGGCAAAATTTAGTCTATCTTTTGAATTCACCAATGGTAACAAGCAAGTTTTACAAATAAATTTCTCCTTTTACAACCATTTTCACATGGATTTTCCTCCTCAATCTATTTGCTTGCAGATCCAACAATCCAGTTTAGTACTGTTATCCCCTAGAGATTATTCCCACCCAAACTGAGGTTTTTGGAAAATAATTTTGCCATCTGCAGGGTTGATTTTGGAAACATGCCTGTAACGTGTTGTACTTTTCCAATATGAATACAGTCTGGTTTCTAGCTTGGTTAAGAATTGCAAAACATATGTACTAACTTGAGGATAGTTTGGTCAAACTTCCATAATTCTGCTTGTTTATTCCACTAAATTCATGTGCGTCTCCAAACCAACAATTTTAAAAAGATGGCCTCCTGTATAAGAATTTGAAACAAAAAAAAGCACATATGAATTCTAAAATTCATGTCATTGATAAGAGGGAGCATTTTATTTCTCCTTTTTAAGCAAAAAATAAACTCTAAGCACAGTTTCTTCCACCTTCAAGAAAGTTATGGCCCAAAATGTATTGGCGTGTTAAAGTAATTAAGATTGACTGTGTTTGCGACATTGTGGAAATGAAAGAAATTATATTTCTTTTGTTCTTTGCTCGTTTGTCTAGACCAAAATACTTTCGGACCTGGAATTTTACTTTTTATTTTAACAATGTATGTATGTTTGCCCATCTGAAACAAAAAATTCTGAACGATTGACAATACTGTACAAAACCAATATATAACAAAGTGAACAATGTAATTAAAAATGAAGCCAATACATACTAGAGCCAAGGTATCTCACAAACAATTCACAGTCCCAAACTCACACACATTGGGCAGTACTACCCTGTTTCTCCAACAATACGGCCTCCCCCAATAGGAAGTCCCAGCATGTTTTATAGGCGTGAAATGAAATTAAGCCCCTCCCCCCCAAATTAAGGCCTATATTAAAACATGTGAAATGGTGGGGGGGAAATGGTGGGGGGGCTTGCCGTTAGGAAGTTCTTTTGTTGCACACCCGGATATGGTGCTGCCTGCGTTGACCCCAATATGAAGTGCCCCACCAACGCCGAGGTCAATATCCAAGCCATTGCTGCCCGCCCGCCCGAAGATGCAAGGGGGGGGATTAAGTCACCCCCGAAAAGATGGCCTAGCCTAGCTTTTCGGGGTTCAAAAAAAATAAGACCCGGCCTTATTATATGAGAAACACGGTAGCTACCTGGCCATCATGCCTTGAGACAGAGCTAGCTTTTCATGAGGTTCCAGCAGGATTGGGATATCTGGATTTTGGAGGCTCTTCGATAGGGTGACAAGGTATGTTTTTCTGAGGTCTGCATGATGGCACTGTTTCACTGAGGGGCTCTGGAGAAGGCCCACCAGTCTGACCTAGAGGGAAACAACTGGAGGCAAGTGGTCCCATAAGTAACTGACCCCGTGCACAGCTTTAAGGATGATAACTAGCATCTTGAATTGCAGTTAGATGTCTACTAGAACAGGGATCCCCAACCTTTTCGACGCCGCGGCCCGGTTCCGGCGTCAGCTGGGCGCCGCGGCCCGGTTCCGGCGTCAGCTGGGCGCCGCCATCTTTTTTGACAAAAAATTGCTTTTTTTACCAAAAAAAGATGGCGGCGCCCAGCAACCAGCGGCCCGGTAAGGCTTGTTCCGCGGCCCGGTACCGGTCCGCGGCCCGGCGGTTGGGGACCCCTGTACTAGAAGGTAGCACAACTTATCCAACAACAGCGTTATAGTGTTAGCAATAGCACTTAGACTTATATACCTCTTCACAGTGTTCTGCAGCAAGGTTCGCCAACCTTTTGGACCTCAGGGACCACCAAACTCATAATTTTAAATCCCGAGGACCACTAATATGAATTTTGAATGACGGTGGCTTGCTGACATTGGTCGGAAAGTCGGTCCCATATTCCAGAGCTGCTGTAGTAACAAGACTGGCCTTTTGGTTATCCTGGAGCAGCTCCTCCAATCCATGACAGCCCGGTGCACCCAGGTGGAGGAACAGCTGCTCCGGGATGACCAAAGGGCCAGTCTTGTGACCACTGCAGCTCTGGAATATGGGACCGACTTTCCCACCAACGTCAGCAAGCCACCCCAGGGCAGATTTCTCTCCCCCGCCATTGGTCTTACCTTCCAGTTCCAGCTCGCATGGCTCTACTCAAGGAAAGGTTTGCGCTCAGTCGAAGGGTGGGGGCCAGCAGGTGGATGGGCCATGTGAGCCTTGTGTTCCCATGCAGCCTGGATTAATTGCTTTGGGGGGGGGGACATTTCTCTGCAGACCACCAAAATTTTCTCGCAGACCACCAGTGGTCCCCGGCCCACCTATTGGCGACTCTCTAAGTGGTTTACAGCGTCGGCATATTGTTCCCAACATTCTGGGTCCTCATTTTACTGGCCTCAGAAGGATGGAAGGCTGAGTCACCTTGAGTCCATCTGAATCAAACTCCTGGCTGTGAGCAAAATTAGCCTGCAATAGTGCAATACTGCATTCTTTCTTTCTCCCCCGCCCCCCCCAATTTTATTGATATTTTTTTTATTGGTTACATTTCTTAGTCTTAATAAACATCATGTTGCCTGGCTATTTAATTTGCTTAACAATTCTGATTATATTCTTAACCTCCACTCCTTTTTTCCAACCACTGGTAAAAGAGATTCCCTGTTTGATAGTATTCTGTGTAAGGACCCTGAAGCCATCAGTCTAAGATGGCCCAACTAAGGGAATTTTGCATATCTTTTCTACTTCCTCTGGGACTCAAGTAGCATTAAAAGGAACAAGCTGCACTGCCCAAAATTACACTCCATCTGGAAGGCTGCTGATCCATCTGCTTTGAAATTCTGTACAGCCTCTTAAAGGAAGGAGGCTGTTCTCCTGAATTGCTATTTTCAGTCTAACGCGTTCTTGATAATAATGTTAGGGTGTTAACCGGAGATCATCTCAGAGACGTTTTTTCACTGCTTCATTGCACCTTCCTAGAAAGCTCTGGGAAATTGAAAAGTAAATGTGTGTGCCTTGTTATGCTTGGCATGCTAAATGAATGTCCTTGTCTCTTGTTAAATTGTTTCTAGCTCAACACTTGAGAGTTTTTTTAGGAGCAATGCCCTTAATACTGTTAAAGCATTACTGCCCATTTTATCCCAGTATAACGGAAAAATGAAACCTCCTTGCCGTCTAGAGAAAAAGATTCTTGCGGAGGGTAGTTGCAGTTTCACATTATGGGAAACCGGCAACACTACAGTTTTTGTAACAGAACCAGTTACTTCACCTGACTTTCACTGCATGCCTGGCATGGATTAGATCAGGGGTATCAAACTCAAGGCAAACCTTTGCTGGCTGAGGAATTCTGGGAGTTGAAGTCCACAAGTCTTAAAGTTGCCAAGGTTAGAGACCTCTGTTCTAATCCACTTATTTGATAGAAAATTCTAAAACCTCAAAAGTTTTCAGCAGTTTTGTACAACTTCAGGTGACCTACAAGATACTACTTCTATGTTTTTAGGAGTTGAGGCTCATGGTCAATTCAGCTATGATAGCTTTAACAAATCTTGGGTTTTGAACTCTCTCTCTTCTTCCCCTTCCATTCTTTCTGCTTTGAAGGGTTGCATGAGGTAAAAGGTTTTGGATTCTTGGAAGGGTCAACCTGTCTCTTGTTTTTCCTCAGAACAAATTAATGCTCTAGCTGACCAGCACATTGTCCATGTGGCCTGCGGTGAGTCTCATAATGTGGCACTCAGTGACCAAGGCCAGCTTTTTTCCTGGGGCGCAGGAAGTGATGGCCAGTTGGGCCTTACAATGACGGAAGATGCTGTAACAATTCCAAGGTAAATATGAAAGATTATTCTTGTGACTTTTCCCATTCTTGTGGAAGATTGAAGATGCAGGCAAGTGATTTCAGAGAAATCTGTTTTTTCATAAAAAAATGTGGCAGGCAGTGGAAGATTGCAGATATTCTAATAGAGGGATAGAATCGAGATCATGTGAGGTGTTAATACCACTTCATAATGACCTGGTAAGGCCACACTTGGACTACTGCATCCAGTTTTGGTCACAATGAGGTAAAAAAGATGTTGAGACTCTAGAAAGAGTGCAGAGAAGAGCAACAAAGATGATTAGGGGACTGGAGGCTAAAACATATAAAGAACGGTTGCTGAAGGTGGGTATGTCTAGTCTAGTGAAAAAAAGGACTGCAGTGACATGTTCCAATATTTTAGGGGTTGCCACAAAAAAGAGAGGGTCAACCTATTCTCCATAGCACTTGAAGGCAGGAGAAGAAGCAATGGATGGAACCTAATCAAGGAGAGAAGCTCTTAGAACTAAGGAGAAGTTTCCTGACAGTTAAAACAATTAATCAGTGGAACAGGCTGTCTTCAGAAGTTGTGTGTGCTCCAACACTGGAAGTTTTTAAGAACAGATTGACAGTCATTTGTCTGAAATGGCATAGGATTTCCTGCTTGAGCAGGGCTTGGACTAGAAGACCTCCAAGGGCCCTTCCAACTTTTATTATTATGTTACATGCAAGGAATTTCATAGACATCTCTTGATTCGTTTTTGTTTTCACTGTGGCACTTGGGGCTTCTAGTACATGATCAGATTTAGCAAAAAGTACTCTAATTTTTCTTGTTTTCTTTTAAAATAATGTTTTAGGACTATGATAATATTGTCTAAACTAGTCTCACTGTCACAGTCTCTGTAATAGAGATGATAATAATGAAAACTAGGTCATTATATTAAACCCCCGTAATTTTGTTAAAGTGTGTAATTTGTTTTGTTTTCTTAGGTTAATAAAAAAGCTGAACCAAGAGATGATCCTGCAGGTCTCGTGCGGGAACTGGCATTGTCTAGCTCTAGCAGCTGGTATTTAACATTTTAACATTTAATAATTCAACTTTTCTGGCTAGGGCTGTAACATTAAATCAACCTTCCAGTTAAACAAGTTTCAACTCAATGATAGCAACAGTTCTGGGAAAAGTTTCAAAAAGAGGATAATCCTCCCTTCTTTTTCTGGTTAACAGAAGATAATGTTTCTAAAAATGATAATTCTCTGCAATATCTGAAATATACTAATTTCAACAGTAGAATTTCTCAAACGTACGTCTATTCAGCACACTATAAGTAGTTCTTAACATACAATCGTAATGGAGCTATAATGACTGGGGAATTCTGGGAGTTGAAGTCCACAATTCTTAAAGTTTCAAGGCCGGACACATTTCACTAGACGAGGGGTGTCAAACACTTGTGGGCCGTATCCTGATGTATCATGACGTATCAGGATGTTTTTTGCCTTTCCGGAGCTGGGGTGGGTGTGGCCTTTGCAGGCTTTATTTGGCCCAGGGGCCGCCAGTTTGACAGGCCTGCACTAGACCAAACTGGCTCTCTTTTAATTATCCTGATATACGTATGTATGCATGTATGTATATGAGATGGGTAGCTGTGTAAATGTTTTAAATCAATAGTATGTTAGCTTTTTCTCCATCTGATTGCAATACAGGTAGTCCGTGACTTATGACCACAATTGAGCCCAACATTTTTGTTGTTCAGCGAAACATTTTTTTTAAGTAAACTTTATTTACAAGAATTAAAAACTTACAAATTTTTAAAAATACAAAAACAATAGTATGTAAATAACACATTCCTCTTTACATTGGTATCGAAATTGATAAATCCTAATAGTCAGTACTAACTAATATTTATCGCATATTCATTTACTATCACATCTTAATCACTAAGTAACTCACAATACTCTACTAATCTTCTTGTTGGTTTATAACTATTATTTAATTAATAATACATTCATATTATTTAAATAATGAATAAAAAGATATAGTAAATATATAATGGTAATAATGTAAAAGAAAAGAGGATTTAAAACCTTTGTTGTTATTATACATTTCATATAGACAGCTGAATATAATTTGTTTCTTGAGTTCATCCGCGTGTTTTCCCCTTGTAATCTACTCAATTATACCATTTATCCCATATCCTGTAGTAATCTGTATCCTCCTTCCCATTGATTTTGAGTGTGAGCCTCTCCAATTGGGCACACTCATATGTTTTTTGAATAGCAACATGTATTGGTGGTACATCTGGTTTCTTCCAATATTGTGCCAATGAAATGCGTGTCGCTGTTAATGAGAGTTGGTTTAACTACCGATTCGGCGAACCAGATGTAAATTTAACATCTGGTTCACCCGAACTGGCTGAATCCCACCCCTGTGTATGCTGGGAGGTGAAGCAGGATTGTTTGTTTTCTGAGCTCTGGGTTTTATTTCTCCCCCCCCCCCCCCAATCCCCCAGATGGACAGTTCTTCGCATGGGGACAGAACAACTACGGACAGCTTGGGCTCGGCAAAGAATTCCCCTCGCAGGACACTCCACAGCGTGTCAGATCGCTTGATGGGGTCCCTCTGTCTCAGGTGGCTGCAGGTGGAGCGCACAGCTTTGCTTTGTCCCTCTCAGGAGCTGTGTTTGGCTGGGGGAAAAACACTTCCGGACAGCTGGGTTTGAGTGACGAGAAAGGTACTTGCGACAAACATCCTTAAAAGATGTCTTTCATCCAGACGTTGCAGAGGTTTCCAACTCAATTCTTCCGGTTTTTTTGTTCCTCAGAGATTTCTTTATGCTTCTTCTCTCAGCCCAGACGTGTCTCTGAACGGCTATAGAAATGGAAAGCCAGAGAGGGAGATTTTAAGGGGATGAAACTCCTTCCTTCTCTTTTCTTGTTCAGATACTTAAAAGTCCACAACGCCATCTCCGTGTATGTAATCAGCCTGGTGGACTTGATAGGAGGCCCCACACAATTATGGCGGTTGGGCTTGTATTTTACTTCAGTGCAGGGGTGTCAAACTCAATTTTATTGAGGGCTGCATCAGGGTTGTGGTTGACCTCGGGGAGGGAGCAGGGGGGCGTGGCTGACTGGGTGGGCGTGGCCATCTTGACACCACTCCCCAAACTGCTGCCATGTTTCCTCTTTGCATTGGGTAGATTGGGCTGAAGCCACGCTGGGCCAGTGTTTCCTGCTTTCATTGGACAGACTGGGCCGAAGCGACACAGGTAGACCAGAGCGAAGTGATGCAGGCCGGCCCCTTACATTTTCGAGGATGGCCCTGCGGGCTGGATCTGAACACATTCCGGGCCGCATCTGGCCCACGGACCTTGAGTTTTCCACCCCAGCTTTAGTGGAATGGCCTTAAAACATTGCCACTGTACTTGCCCAAATCCTTTGTAAAAAGCGAACTGTCAACATCTCGACTGATGAACCCAACTAAAGCAAGCACACTCGAAACCTGCCAATGTCTCAACACAAAACTTTATTGAGTGCATCATTTCAGTATTATTGAAGGCAATACCAGCTCTACCTAATTCCCACACAAAACCACATAGTTACAATATAGAATTATCCCTTACTCCTTTTAGTGCAGGTCACACTGTCCAATTGAGTGTCATTGTATTGTTATGAGAAAGAGTCTCTGTCTTTGGCTGACACCTGCAGATGTGTCCTTGGCTCTCACAGCTCTCCTCCTTGAAGTCTGGAAGCCTGCATTCCTTCTCACTTTTCCCTTCCCCTTAGTCATTTGGCAAGTTGAGAAGCGATAATGGTTGCAACAACATAAGTGCACTTTGATCTTGACACAAACTCAGTTCAAATGCTTGCAGGGTATAAGCCATTACTTCTGCTTTTCTCCTGGGGAAGATCCATTATGGAGGATTTTAAGTCTTTCAATTGGGTGCCTGGCTTGTGGGCTTCCTTGTTCATACAATTATGGGTAGCTGCAAAAGAGAGGCTTGGCAATAAGTCCTCCTTACACAGAGAAAAAAAAAAGCCTGTTAAATACTACAGCCATCAGATTCCAGAAGACCTTTTAACCAGAATTTAGTGGAGGCAGACTTAGTAAATTTCCCCAATCTGATTCCCTACACATTAGCCCCTCAAACCTTTCAAGCACCATGGCCATCCTTAAGAATTCTAGCAACTGGTCTGCACATTTGAAGAACAAGCGGTCAAATAGGGTGAACTCCAAATGTTGCCATTTAATAGGACATGGGATGTATAGCGGTTCCTTTCTCTTTGGAATAATCTTTCTTCTGAGATCTGGCAGTCCTGGATCCTCTTTGCCTTCTGGAAAGCTTTGAAGAGTTGGCTTTTCCCCGAGTTGGCTTTTCCCAGGGGTCAGAGTAAGGCTGCATGCTTGTTTTTTTTAAAAAAAAATGTGGGTGGGTGGATGTTTTGGGGAACGTTGGGAGTTTTTGCTATGGTTTTGTCTTTTTGCTGACTTTATTATTGCTTGTAAGCTGTCCAGGGTTATGGTGCATACACAAGAAGCTATATAAATCTTTGAAAATGAAATGAAATGAAACCAAATGAACTTTGGGGCACATTCTGTTAACCAGTGACCAAAGAAACTTCTTCCCCCCTCCAGAAAATAAGGTAGAGTGATAAAGCATTGTCCTGTTCAAGCACACATAGTGTTCTGACCCAACTCTTCAAACACGACAAACCCTCTGAAGTTAAATCAATGATTCCTTTATTAAGAGCGCCAGCAGCCCCGGCAAAAATTTTCTCTCTCACCGCAGGCTAACAAGTCTATGGGGCAGGGAGATGAATAGCTGTCACATTTATTCATCTCCACCTCCTGCCTTTTATCCCCAAATTTAGGGCGGGGTTTTGCTAGCAGCAGTGCTGGCACTTTGTATATCCTAGATGTGGCAAGAAACAAACAGAAATCTAGTATTTTGTAAGGTGGGAGTAAACTGCTAATCTTCCTGTGGCAGACCTGTAAGCCAGGGTTCATTCCAAATGTGGCTTAGGAGGCTACATTGAGGAGACTGGTTAGAATTCTACAGTTCCATATCAGTATTTTACACTCCTATAGCAGCTTTGGTTTTGATGGAGATTCGCCTTTTCTCTTGTGCCCAAATGGAAGGTGAAAAAAAGAAACTACAATTAGGTAACTAGGTCTCTCAAAGTATCTGATTTGTTTCTTCCATAGCAGAATGGTCCATTTGAACCGCTACATCCTATGCACATCTTTTGGCTGCTTTTTATTGTTTATTTTTGAGAAGAGTATAGCGATGATAATGTATTTTACTTGGTTACTTCTGAAGAAGCCTGCTTCGTTTTTGTAAGTAGTTTGGATAGCTTTTTATACTCTTTAATGCAGATCGGGAATCTCCTTGCCATGTGAAACTTTTAAGGACTCAAAAAGTTGTCTATATCAGCTGTGGAAATGACCATACTGCTGTTCTGACAAAGGTAGGGGAACATCTTTTAAATGCTGGCTACGTGTCTAAGGCAGGGCTATAATTGATCATAAATTGGCTGGTACTTGAGGCCTGGAAGGACATTCTTTCTCCATTCAATAATAGTGGTATTGTTATTTGATAAGGCTATTGCTGCCTTAAGAAAGTTCAAAACATTTTTAAAGATCTGGGATGACCTGGGATGTGGCACAAAAGCAACAAAGGCACAAAACTAGGTAAAGTCCCTTTAATACCTCCAACTTGGCCCACAATGTCCAGTTATCCTCGGATGGAGAAAAAACTCTCCCAAGAACAGTTTTTAAAGGGAAGAAATTCCATCTGAACTCAAAGTACATATAAAGTATAAATAAAAACCAATACAAACCACGCTGCAGCAATTAATGAGACAGGGCAGGATAAGGAATTGAAGACTTCAAAAGATAACAAAACACACAGTTGGGAGGACGCCAGAACTCAGATAAAACTTGACAAACCAAAATAATTCACCTTTTGCTTCCAGCAAGGAGCTGTGCGCAAACACTCTCTTTATCCTGTTTTCCCAGCTGCAGCTAATGAAGGGAATCAGGCCTTTTTCCACCCTCCATAACCCATGTTGCTCCCTTATCTGTTCCTCCCTGCGTGCCCTAGGATGAAGAGGGGGTAGGCCTGGGTCTTCCTCTGAATGCCCAGCCGGACTGTGCCCTTTCCCAGTTTCCTCCACAGGCACGGGAGCCACACTCCTACTCCCTGTCAGCTGTTCCACCTCTCCCTCAGAATCAGATTCCAACAGGGGCATGACAAGCTCCATCTCATTTTGGGCATCCTTTTTTTGAACTATTACCATCTGGCAGACGGTACAGGACAATAAAAACAAGGACAAATAGGCTGAAAAACAGCTATCCCAGGGCAATAACTATATTGAATTCTACTGTATAGTGCAATATTAATGCAATATCGGGTTTTCAGTTCAATTGTATAGAATGCGAATCTGTGTTTTTATTTTTATAATTTTCTTATATAGTCTTCAGTGTATGATGTACACTGAAGATGGCATTTAATTTCATTGTATGAGATGCAATGACAATAAAATAAACTAACTAATCCTATTTGGAGACTGTTTAGACATTTGCACTGTTTTATTGATTTATAGTTTTTCTTTTTCTCTGACTTCAAGTATACTGACATAAGTGCAAACAATTTGTATAAAATTGCATGCATATATTTTAGTGCTAGTCCATTATTTAGTATGTCAGAGAGGTGGGGTTTTAGCATACAAGAAATGTAAGTTTAGTTCTTTCTTTAGTACTTAAGAAATGTATATGGTTTTTCCTTCATTTCTTCCTTTTGCATACAATAGCCAATTCTTGATTGCAGGAAGTACGATTTCGGCAACAGAGCGGTCAATGTCTGGAACTCACTACCTGATTCTGTTGTCACCTGCTCAAACCCCCCACTCCTTTACCCTCAAACTAACCTCTGTTGACCTCACCCCATTCCTAAGAGGTCTGTAAGGGGCGTGCATAAGCGTACAATCGTGCCTACCGTCCCTGTCCTATTGTCCCAATTTATTCGTACCTATTTCTTATAGTTAAACTTATGTTTATTCTTATTTTTATTATATTGTAAGCATTTGACTAAATAAATAAATAAATAAACAAACAATAGCCAATTAAAAATTACTCCCAAAAATTTGTATACAAAGTTGTTGAGGTTTCTGTTGGAACTGTTAGATGATGGGCTTTGAAAAAGCAACTTGTTTGGTGTCAGAGGATGCTTTATATTCTAAGTGAAAATGTTCCTGTGGTCTTTGTGACAGAGTGGAGGAGTGTTTACGTTTGGTGCAGGATCATGTGGGCAACTTGGTCATGATTCATTGAACGATGAAGTCAACCCTAGAAGAGTTTTGGAGCTGATGGGCAGTGAAGTGTCTCAGATCGCTTGTGGTAGGTGAGTGACCTTTTGGGGAAATCTTTCACCAGGCCAGAGATTGTCAGCCTTGCTTATGCAAATGGAATTTGTAAATAAAATAAAATTTAGAGGAAAGTGAACACTTAGGAAAGTGGGAAATTGGGACACTTAGCGACATCTGGAGAAACTGCAGATTTAGATGTTTGCATTAATCTGCTATTGGGCAGAGATTATAAACCTCATTTTTGCAACCCAAAAAGTCAGACCCATTTGTAATAGGATTTTTGCCAATAATAAATGTTTTTTTTATTTTAAATTACCAATAAATAAATAATGATAAACAATCATTTTAAGTACCGTATGTTGAAGAAATACATTGTTTTCATACCATTTAAATAGCTGAAAAGAAAATGGACAAATTGGAATGATATTGCTCTAATGGAATATGACTTCCGCTTTGACCATCATTTTATTTTAAGGTTTTATCAGCATGACTGATTTTCTTTTTAACCAACATGTTTAATCCAAGTTGAAACACTGATACAATAATGAACAAGCAGAGGCCTACCTCTTACCTCTGTTCAGGCCACACCATGAAGCAGGCAGTACATTTTGGAGGCAGCTATAATGGAGTTTTGGATGGAATGAATTTGGTTATGAATTATAATGGCCTTCCAGAATCTGGATCATTGTAGCTGAGCTGGGCAGTAGTTGCTTGGGATTATACCAGAGGTGGTATTCAGCAGGTTCTAACCAGTTCTGAAGAACCAGTAGTGGAAATTTTGATTATTTTGAAATACCACCTCTGACTGCTCCTGCCCCCATCTATTCTCTTGCTCCTGAGTCGGTAGCAGAAGGATGGACTGAAGCAAGGATGGGAGTGGGTATCTGCTTTTTTCTATCTTACAAGTGTAACTAGCAGTGGCAATAGCATTCAGTCTTATATCATCATCATCATTATTTTCATTTAATGACCCCATGATCCCTTGTGGGGTGGAGTCTGGGCAAAATGAATGGAGCTAGCAGAGTGTTTTAATGGCTGGATGCCCTTCCTGTCGCCAATGCGGATTTTTGTTCAGCAGATATATTCTCAGGGTGCCCAGAGAGAGAAATATCTGCCTCTACCTAGGATCGAACTCACAGCCTCCTGATTGTGAGGCGAGAGCTCCACCTGTAGGCCACCGCACCACTCCAGCATTCAGACTTACATGCCCCCCCGCAATGCTTTACACTACAGCACTCTCTGGGTGGTTTATAATGTTTGCATATTGACCCCAACTATTTGGGACCTCATGGAAAGTGGGAAGACTCAAGCCTCATCAGGATCGAACTCTAGACTGTGGGCAGAGTTTGCCTGCAATACTGCAGTTAACCTCTGCACTACCAAATAGATCAGGGATGTCAAACTGGCGGCCCACGGGCCAGATGCATCATGCGCAGGCCATGCCCACTCCAGCTCTGTGAAGGGGAAAAAACATCACAAAATGTCACCGGATTTGCAATGTGACACGACAAGTTTGACACCCCTGAAATAGACGAATGGTCAGGGAGAAACAAAAAAGAGTTGTCCTCTTTCATGTTCAGTTTTGCACTGAATATAATTGCTTGTTGAAGAAGACTGCTTTACAAATGGTTTGGTTATTTTGATCTTTTCAGACAGCACACTCTAGCCTTCGTGCCTTCTTCAGGAATGATCTATGCATTTGGCTGTGGAACTAAAGGCCAGCTGGGAACTGGGCACATCTGCAGTTTTAAATGTCCTTCCCCAGTCAAAGGCCACTGGGCAGCTTATGATGAGCAGATCTCTGGTAGAGCAGGTAAGAGACTAGAATTGTGTTTGTTTATTTAGCATGTGACGTAGTTACATTAGCCAGGAGACTACAGGTAGTTGTGATGACCCAGGGTGGGATACAAAACAAACACAGTCACAGAAAACAGGTGAAGCCCCTTTTATTCCTTCACTTTGCTTCCAAGCTCTGAATATTCTTGATGGAAGACAAAAAACTCCCATACAAACAGTTACAAGAAGGAGGGAAAAACAACACAAACCAGGCAAGATAAGGGCTGGAGGATGTCCACAGATAACACACACTGGGAAGGACGCCAAACTCAGAGAGGAACTATAAACTAGAGATATTTCCACGCATTGTTTCCAGCGTTCACCCGTACGCAAGTCCGTCCTCTTATTCAGTTGTCACAGCTGCAGCCCATGAAGATGATCAAGGCCCTCCCCCCCCCAGTAGACCATGTCTCTCCTTTATCCTCTCTTCCCTGTGTGCCCTAGGATGGAGAGGGGATGGGCCTAGGTCCTCCCCTGACTGCCCATCCGGCCTCTGCCCTTCCCCAGCCTCCTCCACAACCTCCGGAGCCACACTTCCACTCCCTGTCGGCTGTTCCTCATCTCCCTCAGAGTCAGTCTCCTCCAGGGGCATGACAGTAGTCCTCAACTTACAATAGTTCATTTAGTGACTGTTTAAAGCTACAACGGCACAGAAAAAAAGTGACTTATGACCATTTTTCACACTTACGACCTTTGCAGCCTCCCCATGGTCACATGATCAACAATTCAGATGCTTGGCAACTGATTCACATTTATGACGGTTAGAGTGTCCTGATGTCATGTGATCAGCTTTTGTGACCTTCTGACAAGCAAAGTCAACAGGGAAGCCAGATTCATATAACAACCATGTTACTAATTTAACAAAGGAAATAGTTCACTCAACAGCTGTGGCAAGAAAAGTCGTAAAATGGGGCAAAACTTACTTAACAAATGTTTCACTGAGCAACATAAAATGTTGGGCTCAGTTGTGGTCGTAACTCGAGGGCTACCTGTACAATGCTAATGCAGAGTAGTGGTTTGGCTGCCTGTTTATCAGCTGTAGTAGGCACATGCTTGTGTGCTTCCCGTGGTGCACCACAGGAGGGTGAGCTAGTTTTGCACCAGCAAGAAAGACGAGGGACTTTCTCTGCAGCGTCATCGAAGGCCCTCCCCTCTCCTCACGGAGCCTCCTCGTAAACGGGCTCAAAACCAGGAAGGTTCAGAGTCAGTGGGATTCTGCTGCCTGAAGCTCTAGCTCGTCTCCCCACCAAACCGGTACCTATTTATCTACTCGCATAGAACATGCTTTCAAATTGCTAAGTGGGCAGAAGGTGGGTGAGTGATGGGAGCTCACCCTGTCATGTAGCATTCAGGTCTTGAACCGCCGGAGCAGAGCCCATCTCCAGCATCATTAAGCCACCGCACCACCACACCTCTTGTGGCTAGAAGAGAGCAGGATATACCGTATTTTTCGGGTTATAAGATGCTCCAAAGTATAAGGCGCACCTAGCTTTTGGGGAGGAAAACAAGAAAAAAAAAATCTGCCTCTGCCTCCCAGGACAGCCTGATTAGCACAAGCAGCCGATTGTCGGTTGGAACGGCCTCCCGACGATCAGCTGTTTCAGGCTGCAGGGATCACCATCGCTTATTGCTGCCCCCGTGTGCCCCATTGTCAGCCTCCACATGCCCCGTTTTCGACCTCTGTGGAGATACGAATAGGCGGGAAAATGGGGCAGGCAGAGGCCAAAAATGGGGCGTGCAGAGGCTGAAAAGGGGGCAGGCGACAATAGGCATTAGCAATCCCTGCAGCCTGAAACAGCTGATCGTTGGGAGGCGCTAATCCGGCTGTGCTGAAACTGAAACTGGCTGTTTGCTGCAAGGAGGCAAATGGCTGGGAGGCCGAGGCCAAAGGGTGGGGGTCAGCAGGTGAGCAGGGCTTCAGCAACATTCACTGTATAAGACGTACAGACATTTTCACCCACTTTTGGGGGTGGAAAGGGTGGGTCTTCTACTCCGAAAAATACTGTACAGCATCCCAGCTTATAGATTCCCGACCCCAACCCTTCAGGCTATATGAATGTTACTTTCCAAAAGAAAGACAAATGGGATGTTTGTGATGTCTGATGGTTTTAATTAATTCTTGTCAATCTTCTTCTACAGATGCCTGTGCGTATTATATTGTGAAACATATATTCTCTGGAGGAGACCAATCATTTGTAATTTGCTCAGAAAAAGAGGTAACGTAAAGTTTTATGGATTTCCACTCCATCTTTTATAGTTATGGGAAGGAAAATTCTGAATTGTGCCTAAAGGCCATGTGCCTTTTCCGGTGTGGGCTGAAGCTCATGCAGCCCCTGTCCTGTTTTTTATATGAAGAGACCCCCTCCCCATAAATTATGCTGCTCTAGTTTTGGACAAAATAAATAAACTAAATGGGTCTACCTATAATAGGTTTAAATAATTCCTAATCTTCAAAGAGGCAGCAGAGTATGTTGCAGCCTCCTCCACCTATACCAAATTATATTTTTTCTGCAACTTTCAGCTGCAAAAATAATAATAAAAATGGCAAAGTTTTGTTTCTTGCCATAAAACCAAGATCCACAAAAACAGAGAATTAATTACCCGGCTTGAATCTTTAGTCCTAAATGTAATGAAAGAAATAGGGTGGTATTTCTCAACCTCGGCAAATTTTAAGATGTGTGGACTTCAATACTGCTGATTGGGGAATTCTGGAAGTTTGAAGTCTCACAAGTTGCCCAAATTGAGAAGAGTAAAGTCCCAGAGTAAAGAATGGACAGATGCATGAAATGAAATGGGAAGGAAATGGGAAGGATCCATGAAAAAGGAAGTTTGGGGAAATGGTATGTAATCTTTATGTAGATTGTCCAGGATTATGAACTGCCCATTTGCTTGGAGGAGGGGAAAGCTGCCCACAGAGAGTAATCCAGGCCAAATCTCACCCATCCACCCACCTTGGAAAGTTACTCTCACCGTAACAAAAGCAGCAGTGATGTCTCTGGTGCTCCTCCCGTTCACAGTGAAACCTTCTTTGAAATCTGCACCTTCTTACAGAATTCTCTACCAGCTGATGATTTCCGGACCATAAATCACAGTAACCACACCTGTTTGATTAATGACAACACAATCGACATGTGGAGGCAAAAGCTTTCTGAAAGAAATAACTCTAATTCAGTGAAGTAGGTTCACTTCTGTTCAATTTGTAAAGAATTATTGTGATGGTGTGCAAAGACACGATCTCTGGCTTTCTTGGTGATATCTTCTTTGTTGGCTTGTTGTATCAATCCACGGGCGTCAAATTCGATCGTGTCGCGTGACATATTGTGACATTTTTTGCCTTTGCGGAGCTGGAGTGGCCGTGGTCTGCGTGTGATGCATCTGGCCCGCGGGCCATCAATTTGAAAGACCTACTCCAACTGATTATCCAAAATGATAATCAGTTTCATAAATTATGGATATCTGGTTTAGCAGCTCTTTTGACCTCATGGAATCCCATGTCTAGCCTGGTATTTTTAACCACTATACCAAACCAGGTCTCTTAGTGGTATAATACTTAACTGCTACGTCATCATCTTCATATAACGACCCCATAATCCCTTGTTGGGTGGAGTCTGGGCAACTGAATGGAGCTAGCAGAATGTTTGCTGGCTGGATGCCCTTCCAGTCACCAATGCAGAATTTTGTTCAGCAGATATATTCTCAGTGTGCCCAGAGAAAGAAATATCTGTCTCTACCTAGGATCGAACTCACAGCGTCCTGATTGTGAGGTGAGAGCTCCACCTCTGGGCCAGCACACCGCTCCAGCATCAGATTTATATGCCCCCCCACACCCGCCAATGCTTTACAGCACTCTCTGGGTGGTTTTTAATGTTTGCATATTGCCCCCAACAATTTAGAAGAATGGCGTCCAGCTGTTCTAGAGAATCTTTAACATGTTTTAATGGTGTGGCATAAATTGTTTTTTTTTTTTGAGCCAGAGGTTTGGTCATCAGATTTTTAGCCCACATATTTTTAATCACTTATCAAATTCTTCTCTGATGAACTAACAAACCCATTTAGCATTTCTAGATCAGTTGTGCGTGGTATATTTTAAGTCAGTGTGTTAAGAGCAAAGGCAATTGAACAGATTAGATTAAAATGGTACATAACAATTAGGTTTAGTTACTACGTTAATCCATAATCTGATTTGATTAGGTTTGGTTACCGTGTCATGTGAACTCAGTTTGTTAAGAGTTTGTGAATAGCGTTTTATAGCATATTATGTAAACCAGGGGTGTCCAACCTTGGCAACTTTAAGCCTGGAGGACT